TAAGACCTGAAACCATAAAATGACTAAAGGAAAATATAGGGGAAATACTGCAGGTAATAGGACTGGGCAAAGGCTTTAATTAAGACCCCAAAACCACAAGCAACAAAAGAAAAAATAAATAAATGGAATTATATCAAACTAAAAAGCTTCTCTACAGTGAAGGAAACAATCAACAGGGTGGAAAGACAACCTAAGGAATGGTATAAAATATCTGCAAACTATACATCCGACAAGCGACTAATATCCAGAATATACAAAGAACTCAAACAAGTATACAGTAAAAAAACCAAATAATCCCATTAAAAAATGGGCAAAGGAGATCAGCAGACATTTTTCAAAGGAAGACAGGCAAATAGCCAACAGGTACATTAAAAAATGCTTGCATCACTAGTTATCAGAGAAATGCAAATCAAAACCACACTGACATTTTATCTCACCCCAGTTAGACTGGTCATTATTAAAAATGCTGAGAATAACAAATGCTGGTGAGGATGCGGGGAAAGGGGAACTCTTCTACACTGTTGGTGGGACTGTAAATTAGTACAGCCATTATGGAAAACAGTATGGAGGTTTCTCAAACAACTACAGATAGAGCTACCACATGATCCAGCAATCCCACTACTGAGTAAATATCCAAAGGAAGGGAAATCATCATGCTGAAAGGATACCTGCACTCCCATGTTCACTGCAGCTCTATTTACAATAGCCAAGACATGGAACCAACCTAAGTGTCCATTGACAGAAAACTGGATAACGAAAATGTGGTATATATATATACAATGGAATACTACTGAGCCATAAAAAAGAATGAAATTGTGCCATTTGCAGTAACATGGACGAGTCTAGAGAGGGTCGTGTTAAATGAGATAAACCAGACAAGGAAACAGAAATGCCGCATGTTCTCACTCATAACTGGCTGCTAGGAAGGAAGGAAGGGAGGGAGGAAGAGACAAGCAGAGGGAAGGAGGAAAGAAAAAAGGAAAGAAAAAAAGAAAGAAAGAAAAGACCACAAAAATATGTTGAACTTTCAGAAGGAGAGAACAAACCTAAGGATACTAAAGATGGGGGAAGGGGGGAGGGTTGGGAAGTGATAGGTTGGGCAAAGGGCATAAAGAAATATCACGATTTGTAAGAATGAATATGCTAATAAATAAAAATTTAAAATAAATAAATCTAAAGTTGAAAGACATGGTTTGATGTAATATTTAATATTTAATATTTTTTATTGTTGTAACTTTATAGAAATAGCAATTTTTAAGGAAGCTTTTAAAAATGTATTACATACCATTTCTATTTCTTGATCTTTAGCAACCAGTTGTCGATTAAGAAGTTCTTTGCTTGAATCAAGTTTAATACAGAGTTCCCTTGTGGAAGACAAATCCGCAAGGGCAGATACTTTTTCAAACTGAACCTTCTGAAGTTCCTCTTCCATCTTTACAACAGACTTATGTAAGGTAGAAATCTGGGACTTATAAGACCTTTCTGCATTTAAGTGCTGCAAAAACAAGATTATTTTACACATATTTAAAAAATAATAATAACTGGAAAAAACTACAACATTAAAAACAAAGTGAGGCAAATCTTTTAACGATAGTACATTTAGGCTATAAGTAGCTTTAGGTAATATAGGTGGCAATAATATGTCAAAGCACTCTGGGAAAGATAAATTCAGGTTTCAAACTTCTTTACATAATATCCATGAGTAGTGTGGTCAACTAGTCATTCTTTTTACTTTAACGTACTTAGAGAAGGGAAAAGAAAAATCACCTTTCCCACTTAAAAGTCTCCAGCCCCAAAGCTAGTTGAGATATATCTATGTTTGGTCTATAGTTCTATCTATATTTGCCACACTTGCAATTATTATATAATATAAATTATGTTGTTGTTAAAGACAAAATGATAGCCCCTGTTTCATTCACAATACCCATTTTCCAATTCATGACTGGCATGTTGAAATTGATTATAATATTATAAAATTAGGACTGATAACTCTAACACTAATACCTCTGAGGGAAAAAGACTGTGGGCAAGTAGAAATTAAGTATACATCCACATTACAGAAAATAAGAATATGTTTTAAAAACCATATTATGAGATTCAAGCTACATAAATGCTTTCAAATGTTCAAGATAATTCCACTCCTCCCAACTTTTTTTTCAAAACTTGTCTTATGTAAGTGCTCTGCCACCTACAGAGAAGCGTTTATTTGCTATTATGTGAAGATAACAGAACTGAGAGGCAAAGTATAAAGCACTAACACTTGCTCCTGGCATAAGTTATTGGGCCACAATTCTCTCCCACCTTATTCCCTGTATCCCTCTCGCTTCCTTACTCATTCACTCTCTTACTCATTCTTCAAACCAACCTTTTATCTCCTTTTATTCATCCATCCATCCACCCATCCATCTACCCACCCACCCATCCTATATTTATTAACTGTAATCTATGTTCCAGTCATTGTGCCTAGATGCATATTCAAAGATAAGCAAAATGGTCTCTGCTCTCATGAAACTTCCAGACTACTGGGAGAATCATGTACCAATCAAATAATGATAGAGATGAATGTATAAAGACATACTAAGAAAATATTACTGAATAAAAAGTGTATCTCAAAGGAAATTGACCTAGACTGAGAGCATCAGGGAAGTCAGGAAAGGCTTCCCTGAGTAAATGACACTTGAGCTGAGATCTGAACAACAAGGAGATATATAGTGAGCTAGGGAGAGGAGCTTTTCAAGTAAAGGAATGCTAAGTTCAAAGGCCCTGTGGAGTCAGGGAGAATGACACAGTGTAAGAATTGAGAGAAGGCTAGTGTGGCTGGAGCTCAGAGTCCAAAGGGAAGAAGGATGGGAGATGTAGTTGAAAAGACACAGAAAACTTACAAGACAGGGCCTAGTAAGCCATGTTAAAATTTTGGTCTTTTTCTTAGGTACAATAAAAACCCACTGAAAGATCTTAAACAGAGACACGATATGATCAATTTTGAGTTTGGAAAAGATCACACTGGATTTTTCTGGTTCGAGTAAAATGGTTGACTAAGCTAAGATGAAAATCCTTTGGATAAAATAGATTTTAGACACGATATGATCAATTTTGAGTTTGGAAAAGATCACACTGGATTTTTCTGGTTCGAGTAAGATGGTTGACTAAGCTAAGATGAAAATCCTTTGGATAAAATAGATTTTTTTTTTCAATTCATAGCTGTGCTTGCAGGAAAGAAAGAGAAATTCTTACTGCCATACACAGAGGAAATAAATTCAGAACAGGAAACAAATGAGCAGTCCTGAAGCTAAAGTTAGGGGTAGGAAGACCCAGTAATAGTGGATGTCTCATGCCTCCACATTCAAACAAGGATAGGAGACAAGAATTTAGGACTAATGGAGAGTTAGAACTGGGACATCTACATAATATGGAACCCTTGAAGACTGTACTCTAAGTAAAAGGAGGCTCTAGGGGCAGAAAAGCCACTCATCCTCACAGAGACCACAAAAAGTCTATCTTGATCAAGTCTCTGGATAGGGAAAAAATTTCTTCTCTAAGAAACTGAAACCTTAGGTCTAATTTCACTCAATACTGGAAACTGGCTTTACTTGTCTATCCCCAGTTATAAACCTTAACATAAAGTTTGTCCCATGCCAATGATGACCCAGAGCTACTTTGCAGAAGCAAGCTCACTGGCTGAGCGCGGTGTGGGCGCAACACCGAGGGTTGCGATACCGTTGCCAGTCAGTAAAAAAGACAAAAAGGAAAAAAAAAGTATTAAAGACATTTAAAAAGAAATTTTAAAAAGGATAAGGTGGAAAAAAAACAGGCAGATTCGGAAGAGAATCAAACAGAACTTCTGGAAACAAAAGAAAAGTAGTAGCTGAAATGAAAAACTTAATGAGTCTATCAAAGAACAGACGAGTACAACTGAAGAAGGAGAAAGAACTAGAAGACAGATCACAGCACATAAATATACAGAAACTACAATAAAAAGATTCATAAACATGCAGACTAGAAGGAGAACCAAAAAGCATATTATAGGAGTTGAGGGAGACAGAGTAAATTTGGAAGCAGTAGTATTCAAAGAACTAACATCTGAGAATTTTCCCGAACTAATAAAAGGCATGAATACTCTGACTGACAAGAAGCAATAAAACCATAGCTAGAAAAAAGTAAATCCATACCTAGATGTATAACAGTGAGACTAAAAACAAAGAGAAAGAAAAGACCTTAAAATGAACCAGGGACAAAAGACAAACCTATAAAGAATAACAACCAGAATGACAACAGACTTCTAAACAACAACAAAAAGACAAAAGTTATTTTAAAAGTTACCAAGAGAAAATAACTCTCAACCTAGAATTTTATATCAGCTAAACTAATTCTCAAGACTGAGGGTAAAATAAAGTCATTTTCAGACAGAGATTGAAAAAATGAACTCATAGATCTTTGCTGAAAGGAAGTAGTTTGAGGAAACAAAACAACTTCGAAGGAAGGAACAGAATGCAAGAACCAAAGATTTTGTAAACATATGGGTAGAAACAAATAAGCATTGACTAAAAGAACAATAATTATGACTTACCTGTGGGGGATACATAAAAAGGTGGAACTAAAATAGTATACACAACAATATCGTGAAAGATCGGTGGAGGTGTGTAAGAGAGAGAGAGACAGAAAGAGCAAGTGCAAGCAAGCATCAAGACTGAGGGTAAAATAAAGTCATTTTCAGACAGAGATTGAAAAAATGAACTCATAGATCTTTGCTGAAAGGAAGTAGTTTGAGGAAACAAAACAACTTAGAAGGAAGGAACAGAATGCAAGAACCAAAGATTTTGTAAACATATGGGTAGAAACAAATAAGCATTGACTAAAAGAACAATAATTATGACTTACCTGTGGGGGATACATAAAAAGGTGGAACTAAAATAGTATACACAACAATATCGTGAAAGATCGGTGGAGGTGTGTAAGAGTGAGTAGGGTGTTGTGAGCAAGTGCAAGCAAGCATGCATACTAGTGAGTAGGGTGTTGTGCTGATTTTTCAAATATGCTTAGGTCCATGTATTGTTTAGAAACGGGGTTGGTGATATTAACAATAGACTTTGTTAAATATGTATATTGTGATTTTAACTTCTAAAAGAATAGATATAGAATGTAAAACTTTCAAACCAATGAGCAGTGGGGGTAAGAAGTGTTTAAAGAAAACAAACACATAAGACAGAAAAGTGAAAAGAAAGAAATATAAAACAATTGTGGTAAATAGAAAGCATAGTATAAATAGGAAATAATAAACCTAAATGTACCAGTACTAAAAACAAATACAAATGTATTAAACTCTTCAGTTAATAAAAAATATTTTCAGATTGGATTTTTTTAAAAAATCAAGCTATATAACATTTATTAGAGACAAACAGCTGAAAACAAAGATTTTTAACTGATATAACATACTTCTGTTTATAGCCATGATATGGTAACTGGGACTGAATGTATCCTCCCATTGTAAACAACTAGAAAACTGGTTAAAAGTAAGAAAGAAACAATTGCTTCCAGACATTAGACAACAGGCAACTGGGATCTCTGAGAGAAGAAAAACAAACAAGATGAGCGCTATGATCATCCTAGCGTTCTATCTGGAGACACATTCCAGACTGCGGTTCAGGGAAGGAAATTCCAGTCAGAGCACAGTGGTTTTCCAGAGTTGAGGAGACAGAGATAAGCATCTGAAATTTATGGGGTAGAGTTTCAGAAATGAGGGAGCTACATGAAAAAGATCTCCATAAACTTATGTGAGAATCTCCTTGAGTCTGTTGATGAATACTAAGCCATGAGTGCATAGGGTGAAACTCGAGATGGCTGAGCAAACGGCAACCAGATAAATAATCCAATGGCCAATACACAGTTGGGAAAGCATCAGAGTTTGAATGTGCAAGAGTGAAGAATCCTTAATAAGCACATTGGGATGGGCATTTAATAGAGACCCCAGAAGGATCACACCTTAGTGGTACGGCTAAATTACCCTTGAGATAGGAGGTGCTCAGTTTCTATGACTTCAGGTTTCAGTACACACCTCTGAGTTTCAAGCCACTCCCCAAGGTCTCAGATCCCTTCTCTAGGCCCTCCCCTAGAGGAAAGTTATTGTTGCTTTTTGCACCTATTTTCAGTTCCAACATGGGGAGACTGAGATTACAAGGGCAGACTTATGCAACTCCAGTGGCTGAGCATACTCAATAAAAAGGAGTTTATTCTTTGAACGACCTTCCACTGGAAGCACTAGAGAGCACCAAATATTCTTGAATATATTTGGTGCATGTGGTGGAATTTGACCAATAAGCATGCTCTAAAAGAGAATGCAACTCCAGTGGCTGAGCATACTCAATAAAAAGGAGTTTATTCTTTGAACGACCTTCCACCGGAAGCACTAGAGAGCACCAAATATTCTTGAATATATTTGGTGCATGTGGTGGAATTTGACCAATAAGCATGCTCTAAAAGAGAACAACTGAGCATGTG